GGAAACCATACGAATCAAGGCACTCTTCGATGAGGGCGCCATGGTCAACGCCATGTGCGCAACGGAATTCGAACAAGTGAAACATAGGCTAGGAAGTTGGGGAACATCGACGAAGCGGTTACACATGGCGAACGGCACAATAGTACCCTCTAAGCTGTATGGAGAGGTGAAGTCATGATAGAAGGAATCAAAACGCACGGAGAGTTCGAAGTATTCGAAAGCGGAGGCGGGTGGAGATTCCTGTTCGGGAAGCCACTATTACGTGCATTTCGAGCGATACACGAATACGAAACAGACGTGGTGCACATATCAGGGGAAGGAGGTTCGAAGACAATCTACAACCAAAGTCAAGAGAAAGATATCGCACAGAGAGAAGAACATATCCTCACAAGAGAAGTCCCAGCGCACAATCATAACTCAGGTCCAAAGATCTATACTGACCGAAAAATGAATTTAGGAACATACATCCCAGTCTGTGTCATGACAGACGACAAGGATGAGGCAGCAGTCTTCACGAGAACGACAAATCCAGGAAACCCGAAACGGGTAGCATATATCGTAAAGGCGGTACAGTACGGAAAGGAACTGACAGGAGGAATGCAAACGAGTTGAAGATTTAGTGGAAAAATATGCAGACATATTTGCGTGCTCACTTTCAGAGGTCCTCCCGATACCAGGAGCCCAACATCGACTGAATATACCAGAAGACGCCACATTTAACCTACGCATCCGTCAACGAGCGCTTACACCACCGCAAGCCAAGTTCTTACATGGCCGGATTGACAAAATGCTAGCGGCGGGGATAATCGAAAAGGCACCAGCAGAACAGGTCAAATGCTGCGCCACCACGGTATTAGCACAGAAGGCACACGAACAAGGAGGACTCACACTGGAAGAACTACAATACAAAGTCAACAAACAGTATACGAAGCATGGACAACCGCCAGCCTTCATCTTACCAGAACACGAAGTACAAGAGGCACCTCGAGAAGCATTAGAAAACAAGCTGCAGAAATGGAGAATTTGTCAGAACTTCAATGAAGTAAACAGACATACTGTTATAGCGCCAATGCCACAAGGGGACATACGAGCCAAACAATTGAGGCTAAGCGGCCATAAGTACGTGTCAGTATTTGATTTTGCATCCGGGTTCTATGCTGTCGAAGTTCCAGAAGAATCCAGGCCCTACACAGCATTCTACGTAGAAGGCCATGGTTACTTTTGGTACAAGCGCATGCCGATGGGACTCACCGGAGCGCCCACCACATTCTGCGAAGTAACAGCCACTCATCTGCATGATCTAATCACCGATACCACTATGGAAATATTCGTAGATGATGGAGGGAGTGCAGGCGACACGTTCGACGACATGTTTGGGAAACTAGAACGTATCTTTCAGCGTTGCCGAGACCGGAAATTATCCTTATCACCCACGAAATGCCGACTCTTCATGTCAGAGACAACTTTCGCCGGAGCAACAGTAGGTCCCAAAGGAGTTCAACCTAATCTCGAAAATTAACTACTATCGTAAACTGGCAAAGGCCAGCAGACGCACTTCACCTAGAGTCATTTTTAGGACTAACAAGTCATTTTAGGGATCTAGTGCTAGGATACGCAAAACGAGAAGGACCGTTGCGCAACTTAGTAAAGGAAGCACCACTAACGCACCCGTACACCAAGAATACATATCGACGCATCTTAAGAGGCCACAAACTGGACAACAAACGGACGCAAGAGCACACCAAAGCATTCCTAGACCTAAAAGCCGCATTAGTAACGCGCCCGATCCTACAAGCGCCAAAGTACGATGGATCACCATTCGTTGTCACATCCGATGGTTGCCAAGAAGGACTAGCAGCAGTGTTGTCACAACGGACACGCATGCAAAGACCATCCGGAAAGTGGATAGAACATTTGCTACCAATCGCATTCGCGTCAAAACGGACATCAAGCACGGAACAAAAATACAAACCTTTTATATTGGAGTTCGCGGCGCTAAAGTTTGGACTAGACAAGTTCTTGGACATCATATGGGGCTTTCCGGTAGAAATCGAGACGGACTGTCAAGTGCTAAGGGATGTATTGTTAAGCGACCATCTCAACGCAGCACACGCTCGATGGCGGGATGGAATCCTAGCACACAACATAATAGATGTGCGACATGTACCGGGTAAGCTAAATGTCATAGCAGATGGCCTTAGTAGGCAATGGGAGGGTCAGCCGCGAGATGCAGGACTACGAGACAGGAGTACTTGGACAGTCAGTGAGGACTGGGAAACGGAAACAGGTTTGATTAATGATATTCTACTAACCTCTACGATAGACGAACAAACGGTGAAAAGTCTCCTCAAATGTTTTACTAACGAACCAATTTTTCTAGAAGTTACAGAGTCAATAGCACAGGTCAACTCGAACAAACCATTAAGAGATCGTAAATTTGCGCACCATCAAGCATTGGAGTACCTAATCGAAAACGGGAAACTATGGAGGTTGCGCGGAGGAACGACAGTTAGAGCTCGAAGCAGGACAGAGTGTGTTACCCAGGAAGAAGCTGAGCAAATGGCAACAACGCAACATGAACAGATGGGACATTGGGGGAGAGACACTATCAAAATAGCACTCACGGACCGAATATGCAGCCCCAAACTCGACGCATCAATCATGAAAGCTATAACAAATTGTGCTAAGTGTAAAAACTTCGGATCACAACATTTGCACTCACTATTAGAACCTATAACACGCAGACATCCTTTCGAGCTCCTCGTTGGCGACTACTTAACGCTTCCCAAAGCCCAAGGGTACAACACCTTAGGCGTCTACTTGGACACGTTCTCACAGCATGTATGGGTCTTCAAGTATAAATCCTCCGGTACGGCGCGCACAACGATAGACAGTATATCGCGAATCTTCCAGAACTTCACGTCGTCGGAAACGTTCATGAGTGATGGGGGGAAGCACTTTAATAACACGGAAGTTCAAGAATATTGCGCTAAGTGGTCATGTAAAACACACGTCATAGCAGCTTACTCACCATGGGTCAATGGACTTGTAGAAGGCACAAACAAAATCCTATTGCACGTACTCAAACATTTATGCGCCCCAAACCTCGGCGAAGACGAATATGAAGCAATATCATGGGATACCCTACCAAATAGTTGGCCAAAGCACCTGGAGGAAGCAGTCGCAGCCTTGAATTATAGAATCTTGCCGGCTCTGAAGTTCTCGCCAAAAGAACTTTTGCTGGGACAGGTGATCGATACTCCAAGGACAGACATAGCTAACAGCGCATCAGCACTATGAATATCGGATGCCAATATACACATGGCGTACGTTGCACAGCAACGTCTAGATGGATATGAGGCTACAGTACAGCACGCTATCAAGAGGAAAGCGGCATTCGACAAACGTGTACTATCACGCTCACCAAGGGAAGTGATCTTTACGAAAGGACAACTCGTTCAATTTTATTATAGCAGTGCGCACAATACACTCGAAGCGAAATGAAAACTATTGCCGAAATGGTCACATCCTCATCGGATTACTGAAAGGATACGCAACTCGTACCGTTTGGAGACCATACAAGGAGAACCGCTATCAAGCGAGTTCCACGCAAGACAGTTGAGAGCGTTTACACCGAGGGAGGGCATGAAGTTGTGGGAAGAGCAGAAAGAAAAAGAAGCACAATTAGCGCAAGAAGAAGAAAACGTTCAAGTCGATGAAATCCAGAACGAAGAAGAGCAGCAGATAGACAAAGAGGAGAGCGAGAATGAAGATGAAGATAGAAATGAAAACGAAGATGTAAACGACATAGAAAGGTGCGACGCGGTTGTCGCTGTTTTTAAGGGGGGCACATGGAGCGGGGGACCCCTAGGGAGGGGTTAGGTCATAGAGGTTGTTTGGCGGTGTTTGGAGCGCAGGCAGGGCGTTAGGTAGAGTTCCAGCAGCAGTAGGAGGCATCACTTGGTTGTAGAGTCCAGCGCACGCATTCTAGCAGAGCCCACTCCACCATCATGTCTTTTCCGACATTTGTGCAACTCCGCATAGATCATGCAGTTGCGGTTCTTGCATTCCTGATATAGAAAATTGATGAACATTGAACTTTGTTCCCTGGAAGCTCCGGAGTCTGTGGTTGGGCTGTGCCTAGAGTGTTACATAACTCTTCACAAGCAGACGAGTACGAGATTCGGAGGTATAATTTGATTCATGTCATGTCTTACTCTTCTTAACTTCTTCTACATACTCATCGACAACACCCAGTATAATATCTATCAACTACAACATGGCCGATGCTTACAGACAACTGGATTGTCGCTGACAGCGAAGGCGAAGATGCTTTACGACCTCTTCAGATTGCTGACCAAAGCGACCTCTTGAGCGGAACCCCATTTTCTACAGGCCCGGAAAAGATACTACAGCGTTAGGAATTCTTCAAGCTTCATGCCCTATACCGCATGCTAACTGGACACGGATTTGCAGCGTCAACAATTCAGATTGCTTCATTTATTACCAGTCAAGCACAGACTCCCCGGCGAGGACGTGAACCTCTCGACACAAGTAATGTGTCTCTGTTTACACCACCTCCAGGGTACCAAGACTCTGAACCACCAAATCCTTCTCCGTTACTTCCTCGTGGCAGGGGAACACCTGTACCAAAGTCTAAACCATGTCCACATCCTGTGCCGCAAAAGTCTCAAACTTTGTTCCTCTGGCTCACTCATAGGTTCTGCATCTGCAATCTCAGCCAGTACCTTGGCTTCAGACAGTATCCGCCCTCCAACCACACCATCTGTGGTTTCAGATCTCATCAAGGAGGTCGATCCTGTGTGTAGCATTGCCGACCGAGCCAAGACACGCACTCGAAAGACTCAGGTCAAGAAGCCAACTTACGTGCCTGTCAACCATGATGTGATAGAGTTAACATTCGACTCCGACTTCGATGAACTATCACTCAAGCCTCGACGGAAGTGGCAGAAATTCCTGTAGTAAAGTGTTTCATAACTCTTCGCGAGCAGACGAGGACAAGATTCAGATGCGACGACTCGGATATCAGTAAATAGATTCCATCTTTGGCAGAAGCAGTGTTAAATGTGAATTGAATTTGTAACTGATGTCTGGCCATGCTGTGGCGATGAATCCGATCTGATATATGTAGCGCTGGTGATGCTATATCATGGTAAAGTCCCGCTTTCAAATTCGCGATCGGGGGTTCATTAACATTAGTGACGCGATCACGCTATAAACATATCTCGTTCATCGACATTCCTGTTCTGTACACTGCTTTCCTTCATTGGTACAGTAGAAATAATTGGTTGAAACATTGTCAACGTCAGGACCTATAGCAAATGATTCAAATAAATACTGCAACGAAAATATTGCCTAAACCTATGTCTCCTTGACATGACACTAAATAGCTACTTGAGCACCGCAACGAGGCTTGGAATGGAGACAAAAAATAAATTTCCCGTGCTCCCTGCAAGCACTAGACAACGGTTCACGTCAACTTTACCGAGCATTACACACTACTGCTAGTCGACATATGCACACGCTCTTGGAAAGCGATTGAGGTCATGACGGTTGCTGTGTTGGAGTCAGCCACGAGTTTAGCATTATATTCTCGAATGCCAAGGATCAGCCGTGGTCCTAGCATGAAAATCTGCACGACCTCCAAAATCTGCAACAAGCCATACAAAGTCTGGTCTTCTAGGAGATATCGGCTCTATAGAAATGATAGATCATGGTCACATGTAGAGGTAAGTAAAAGATTGATTGACATACCGATGATGATTTTAGAGAGAATACAATAATGAGATCGAAGCAAGAGACAGCAACAAAGCTATCATGTCCGACCCTTCAGTGGAAAAAAAGACAATAATCACAATATGAACTTACCTCGCAAAGTAAAACACGTGAGTTTTCATCAACACCATAAAAAGTCCCCGATAATCCCTCCTGTCGCATGTAATCGCAGTTCATGGAAGTGTTTTACCGCAATCCAGACTGCGAGACATAGTGTGAGGACCTCCCACACAATGTAGAGTATCCAAGTAGCAGAATCCAGAACTAGGGTATCTCCTGTATAGCTAACCTTGCACATATAGGTGCCGGAGAGAATAAGTTCCTCTGGTGTCCATCAATGAGCTCTATGCACGTTCGTTTTCATCCATAATTAAGTGTACCTCCTGAAGTATGCATCGTTGACATTATGGTTGTCACTCCAGAAAAAGTGCTGATCGCCAGGAAGGTGGTAACGAGAAATATCAGGATCTTTCTATCTCGTTGATACATGGCATGCAATCGAGTGATGATGATGACTTGCAGCATATTTCAGTCATTCCAATATCACTGAGGTCTCGCAAGTGCAAAGCTCACCCCACAGCATCGAAAATACCACAGCAACCGTCCAATCCTGCATATTGTACATCATCCAACCTGGCAAATCCGATCAGTGACCAGTCTCAAGTAGCACACACTCCAAACAGATTCACATCTTTGGTAGTATAGGTGGCAGCCATTAGTGGACTGAGAAGTCAGCAAAGAGCGACACCCACTGCTACAGGACACCACGGTTAATTTGAGGGGAATGGCAGGCATTTATATAGAAGACTCACTGTATCTGTCAGCGAGATCGTCGGAACACCGACTGATGCCGTTGGTCAGAAGAAGAGATGACAGTGAACATACTAAAGAGACTCACCAACCATGGACAGACTGATTATAAGAGATAGACGATTAGCACAACACCAAATGTTTAGCCTTCCGAACCTACGCAGCGGATAGGATCCCAAGGTAGCGCACCTAGTATACTTTAAAGTCAGCACACAATGGCAACTACGACAGACAAGCTACACACACTGAGATACATCACTGTCATTAGGGACCAACATTGCCTCTGTAAATAAGTGTACTTTCATGTATGTTCCTCTGGCATGAGACTGTACTCACCCAGACCAATTCGACCTGCAAAAGGATTATCAGCAAGACGGGTTACGGTGATAGTATTGACATACCTCTTGTCCAAATGTTAGTGCTGAAAATGCTTGTGAGACACCAACCATCCTTTAATGTGATCATGCTTACCCCAATCATATGTTATTACAATGAAAGCGGCAACTGCAACACCGTAGTCAAGCTCAGATTGAGACATCAGCTTCAAAATCCAACTGCTTTCCATGAACCTACAAAATAGCTGGAAAAACGATTCGCACTGATGGACAGCCACCAAGTGGGATCATTTGAGACTATGGTCATATTGTTAGAGAATGGGTGTGGGTGAGAGGTGAACTTGGTAAGTATATAGCGGTAACATTCGAGCTATATGTATGCCGTGCTCACTATAGTTTGGTAACCAAGATCAAGGTAAATATTTGTGCACTCCAGTTGCGGTTGCGGTTCCTGTGTTCTTTATAATAGAAAATTGATGAATTTGTTCCCTGGAAGCTCCGTCTGCGGCTAGGTTGGGCTGTGCCTAGAGTGTTACATAACTCTTCGCAAGCAGACGAATACGAGATTCGGAGGTACAATAACTTGTTAACATGGGACAACGCGAAGAAAGGAACGGTACAAGCTTGAGCTCAGTAGTTGTTCTGAGGTGTTGACGTGGACGCAATGATAGTAGATAGATTCCATATGCTTTGGCAGAAGCAGTGTTGAATGTGGACACATTTTGTAATTGATTTCTGGCTATGCTGTGGCGATGAATCAGTACTTGATTGATATGAGAGGTAACGATATACATACTAGTGTTGGTGATGCTATGTCATGGTAAAGTCCCACTTTTGGTCCCTCGCAGCCTGGATCTGGCACAATTCATTAGTGACACGATCACGTGCATGTCATGACGGTGTCCCGGCTTCTTAACTTCTTCTACATACTCACCCAGGATAAGTAATCATTGCTCAATTAAAACATGGCCAATGTTACAGACGACTGAATTGTCGTTGACAGCGAGGACAAAGATGCTTTACGACCTCTTTAAATTTCTCAAACGGTCCTTCCTATTCGCCATTGGTGAAGTCTTCGCGAACATGCCTTTCGCGGATTGCACCACTCACCCCACTGACGGACCACCATACAAGACCTCCCTCCCGAAGAAGAACAAGAAGCAAATAGAGATGGAGGAGCGTATCGAGGAGGAGCTGTCGGAGACTGTTGAGGGGTGGTCGTGTATGA